GTTTCTTGTCTAATAACCATAGGTTTAGTAAGAAGTTGAGAAGGATTTTTCGTAGTATCTTTTTTAATGATTGATTGGAATTTATTCTTAGTAATTCCTGTTTGAAGATTTTTGACAGCTATAGGTTTGACACTAGGTTGAGTTTTGGTTAGGACATTTATTGTGAAATCGCCTATGTCTTTTCTTATATTAAGAAAATTGTTTGTTGGTTGACCATAAATTGGAAGTTTTAAAGTATCAATAGATTCTTGGTTTAGTGTTTCTTCTAGGTTTGATAGATCTTCGGTAGAATCTGGTAGATCTATAAGTTTGTTTTTCAAGAATTTTTGTGGATCTGGTAGGTTTATAGATCCTGATATGGATTCATGGATTGAAAATAATTTTGGTAAATCTGATGAGTTTGATGGATTTATGGACTCTGCTGAGAGTTTATGAGAGGATTCTAGTATGTGGTCTATTTGAGGTAGATCTTTGGATAGATGTATAGGTTTTATAGTTTTTGACAAAGAGAATACAGGTTTTGTCATGGTTTGGACTGAATCTATGAGTTCTGGTGTGGACACCTGAGATGTTTGAGGCTCATACCGTTCAAAGAAATGAATGTGTTGTTTTATTTCTTTCAAAAAGTCATAAAAAGTTTTCTTGTATATTTTTTCAGGTTTCTCCCTGATATTTGTCAAAAAATTGTTTTCTTTTAAACTGGTTGTGGTTTGCAAAGAATTTAGATTTAAGTTTTTTTTGGTCAATCTGAAATTTAGGGCGTTTGTTTTCTAATTTCTTTTGAATAAGGATTGATTGCTCAATCCGAGCAATTCTGGTTTGAAAGTCATCTACTGATTTGTTGTTTAAAAAAGAATTGGGACATCTAAAATTTGTTTCACCAAATGAAGTCATAGGCAAAGACAAGTAAATAAATGATTTTAAATAATTAAATAAATAATTTAAAAATAAACAATCTTATAGTCCTCTTCTTTTTGGCACAGAATCCTTCAGGATCCATGGAGGATAACTACATTTCTGAACCGCTTATAAAAAAGATAGTGAGGACGCTACAAGAATGGATCTAATCTTTTAATCTTTTGAAAAGGATTAATTATGCATGACGACCATATTTCTATCATAATAAAGATAGTGAGGATGCTACAAGAATAGATGTAACCCTTTGAGATAGATTAACTATGCATGGTGACTATATTTCCAAACAAAATTATAATATTAGTAATATGAACCTATGAAACCAGATTTGATCTCTGAACACTTCACCGTCCTGGATCTTGGACCATAGGAACCTCAACATCCCTACAGAACTTACTGCCAAATCCTATAGCCTTACCGCCTGGACCGAAGGTTGGCAATTACAGGCTCCATGTCCATAAAACAGATCTAACTTTCATAGATAGGTACTATCAACATTATAATAAGTTTGAATACATTAGATAGTAATCACGAAATTAACCAGTCTCATCAAATAGATCTAAACTTGTAAATCTACACTAATAACATCATAAATAGGAAAGATGGTAATCACGAAATTAAGCAATCTCATCAGACAGATCTAAACTTGTAAATCTGCACTAGCAATATCATAATAAGCAAAAAAAAAAAAAAAAATAGCCATTATCCCACTTTTCCCTCTGGCTCTGATACCAGACAGGACGAGGGTTAGCCCCTTAAACCAGGAAAGTAAACATATATATATATATATATATATATATGTATGTATGTATATAGGGTATTAGATTTTTAGAATTCTCTTACCAATTCTTATCAAGTTTCCTATTGGTAACTCCTCATCAATACCAAAGCCTAATGGATAGTCCGTTAGTTGTTTAATTGAATTAACCATTGGATCGGATACCAACAGGTATAGGATTTTACTCTACCCATTGCCATCCCTAGATTTAAGAGTGAAGACGAAGGCTAGCGCCCAGCTCCAAAGTAGTCAATAATCCGCTTACTAAAAGGCTAATAACACTGGCCTTGTTTGGCAAGCAAGTTTTGGCCAAATTTATCTGTTACAAGTTTTTTAATAACTTTAACTACAGTAATCTCAAAAAATTTCTCAAAATTTTTAAACTATACATTTCAAAATATTCAAAAATTTATGCACTTCAAAAAAAAATTTTACCACTTTTACAGTAAGTTACAGTAAAATTTTAGATAAATATCCAAAAAACTCACTTGCCAAATGGTGCCATGTTAAGAATTCTCCTTTTCTCCTCTCCTCCTCTCTAGAACTCTTTTCTCCTCCTTCTCTCTAGAGTTCTTCCAGTCAAAATATCTTTTATTTCTCCTATGAGAGAGAGAGAGAGAGACCAAATTTGATCTTTTCCTATGGGAAAGGAAGCACTCTCATTAATTTTTAATTTCTCTTATTTGAATAATTCTCTCTTAGGGTTTTCAAATGAGGGATTTTTCTCTCTTAAGATCTCTTAGTGAGAGATTCTTTTCTTTTAAATTATTCTAGTGAGAGTTTTATTCTCTCCTGGATATTTCTTGTGAGAGTTTTTTTAGATTTTATTTTTTTTTGTGAAATTTGAGATTTTATAGATTTAAAATCTAGTTTTTTAGATCTGCAATTTCTCCACTGTTGTTATATCTAAATTTCTCTTTGAACTTGAACAAATTTTAATCAAATCAAATTGCAAAGTTTTTAGTGATTAAGGATGTTTGGTCTTGAAAGGTATAAAAGCAAAAATCAAAATACCAGCCACTAGGGATCAAAATGTGGGACCTTATCCATAGTTTTAACCTATCTTTTGTGACTTAAAATGTTATATAGGTTACGAATTTTTATTTCAGGTAAACACATCTAACCAGCATATGGAATCGCTAACGCTATAAGAGAGTGTTCAATGAAAGACAGATGTGATTATAGTGGAGAAACCTCTACAAATTTCTTTGAATTTTTATAATAAGGCACTAGTTAGTATGCTTAAAATTACACCAAACTTATCACACCTCCATTGCATCCTATATTTAGATATTCTTCCGACTTAACTTCAATTTTACCAAAAAAAAAAAAAGTAAAACCTAAGACCTCTGGACACCGATAACCAAACCCATTTTCTTTATAGTTCACATGTAATTGAAAGGCATATAATTAAATGCTTCTTATAATCCTAAAAGAACAAAATCTAAGTTTGTAGCCCAAAAAAAAAACACGAATTGTTACAGTCACTGCCTTATTTGCTAATGACATCCTTTCCACTTTTTGACTTTGTAAACTGAACAAAAGTACCTTTCCTTGCATTTACATACCGTTCCCTCATTATTGAATTGTACTAATTAAAATGAAATGGGTGGACAAATTTTAACTTCTTACATAAGTAGAAAAGTCAAGGGAAAAAACTCTGCTGGGATTACACAAGTGGAAGAGATTTTTGAACTGCTTTGAGAGAGAGAGATCAAGAAAAACCCAATAATAGTTACCAAAAATGAAAGTAATGAGGAGAAAAGAGCAAAACTGAGCTGGTCTTATGCCCGCTCACGAGCTATTCCTAGATCCAACCAAGGGGCTACTTCTTTGACTGATGAGTTGAGTCTAGACACAGGTTGTTTGACTTCCAAGATTATATTCCCTCTCCCTTGTTGTTATGGAAGCGCTTGAAAGCGCTTTTGTTGTCACGTCTCTTGACCCTTCATAGAGCACTCAATATGTATGGCCAAAAACGTTTGATTTTGATATGATTTGATGGTTAAGATTTTATTAACTCTCACCCTTTGGTGTTATCACGAAAACCCTAGACAAGACTTCTGCAAACTTTCAAGAATTTGAAGTGAAACGTGTTCGGGTGCTTGACCATTCCATATAACGTATCAAAGACAACTAGTTCTGTTTACACTTGTATTGTGTGTTTCCCAAAGCAATGGTGGCTGAAAGAACAAAGTAATCTTTGGAGAAATTACACTTTTGGTTACCAAGTATAATCAGGTCATGACTAGTTTAGCTCCTCAAGTTTTGTGAAAAATAACTTCAGGTTCATAGTTTTAGCTTTGTTGGATTGCAATTTTTCACCTAAATATTTTTATATTTTTCGTAAATATATTTTTAATTACTTTTTTACTTACATATATCAAATTATTAAAAATCCATTTTTTTTTTACAAAAACTCCAAAAAAAATCCAAAAGGATTCTCAATTTTTATTAATTAATGGTAATTGACTAAATGGCTGAAAATTATACAATTAATTGTACAAAGCCATTGCATTTTATGCATATTACCAGATAAAGTCATGAAAAAGGAAAAACATTACAGTTAAAAAATTTTGCAATTGATAGGATTCATATTTTTCTTGGAGATATTACCTTGATCCCAACCTTCACAAGTTAGCCAATGTAACCAATTGTTGTGGGTTACTCCAAATGGAGAAGTGAAGGAGCTAGATGCTTTTCTGCACAAAACTTAGAGAACAAAATTGAATCGTAGTTAACACAATTGGACCAAACGTGTAAGTATATATATTCACTGTCAATATGAGGACCATAGAGTCATATTTAACACTAGTAGTTAAAAATTTATGAGATGGAGTAAATTTTATGTTGGTGGTGTAAAAAAAGTTATATTAGTAGAAAAATGGTAAATCAGTCTTAAAAACAAATTAAAAGTTGAAAAAAATCTTGCAAATCAAAAGTATTAAAACGGACCTTTTTTTCCTTTTAAAAATAACAAAATGTAGACATCAGTGTCCAGTAAATGAAGAAATTGATTAACACAAAAGTGTTGCATTTACCCAAGTATAGAGACAAAGAAACCAAAAGATAATACGGTGCAACAAGGGCTAAGAAGTGAAACAAACTACGAAAGCTAAATCATGATCATGGAACAGATATGCACAGATGGCTTGGCTTTTTCAAAAGCCCATAAACGAACCATCTTTGCTGAGGCTATCGAAAGTTTCTTGTCTACCAAACCTAGAATGGAAATGCCATTACTTTCTTCCCTTCTCCCTTCTTTTATATCTCTATTCTCTCCTCCTTTGATGCTCCAGGAAAGAGAAGAACTTAAGAAGAAGGTCTTGGTTTCCAAGGTGTGAAATAAATTAAAAAAAAAAAGATGGGGAGAGGTAAGATTGAGATCAAGAGGATTGAGAACACAAACAACAGGCATGTGACTTACTCAAAGAGAAAAACTGGGATCATGAAGAAGGCTAAGGAGATCACAGTTCTTTGTGATGCTAAGGTTTCCCTCATCATCTTCGGTACTTCTGGAAAGATGCATGAATATATAAGTCCTTCAACAAAGTATGTATATCATACACAGCTAGTTTTTTCTTAGGTTTATTGTTTCTTTGAAAATTTTTTTTGAACTTACGATTCTTGGGTTGATAACGAATTTTTTTTTTGGGTTTGATCTTGATCAGTTTGGTTGAAATGTTGGATGCTTACCAGAGGTCTACTGGAAAGAAGCTGTGGGATGCTAAGCATGAGGTAGTTTTGAGTTTGAATTTCTCTTTACCTAGGATGAATATGGTACAACCTTTTGTTTGTGTATTTCTCTGATATCATCTGGTTTGAGGGCTTATCCCTTGGGAAGAAGACATGGGTTTTTGCTAAAAATATGTCAAGTGACTTGAAGCTTAAATTCTATGAACAGATCTACAAATGGCTAGGGCTGCAGTCCTCTCTTTCTCTATCTCTCTCTCTCTCTCTCTCTCAAGTGTATTATCACTTTTTGATGATAAAAATGATTTAACGGAAAAGAAAACTATATGAGATGTTACATCTACTAACAGATCTGGTAATAATATGCTTTTCTCTCTCTTCCCTTTCCTTGCAAATTTTATGTTACTATATTCAGTTCCATTTTCTTAGCACATAAAAATGTCAGGCTTGTATAGTTATTAAGGATTAGATCTATGATAGCTCTCTCTTTTCAACTGGTTCTTTTTTCATATACCAATCATCTGATCCAAAGGGCTGAAAAAGTATATAATTTGGCTCAACAATATGTATCTAGTATATTCATAGTTCTTCACTCTCAGATCTATATTTTTCAGTGCTTATAGTAACTAATGTCGTTTTTTCCCTCAGAATTTAAGCAATGAAATTGATAGAGTTAAGAAAGAGAACGACAGCATGCAGATTGAGCTCAGGTAAAATAGATTTTCTTCTTTTATATTATCGTTATAATTTTGTTATTATTGTTATTTTTGGAGATGGGGTGATTTAATTTAACCTTTTAAGCTTTTTTTTCTGTGTAATGTTTCAGGCACCTAAAGGGGGAAGACATCACATCTTTGAATTACAAAGAGCTCATGGTTTTAGAAGATGCCCTAGAAAATGGGCTTGCAGGTTTACGCAACAAACAGGCATCTCTCTCTCTCTCTCTCTCTCATTTTTGCTCCATAATCTCATTTTTCTTTTCTCTTAATTTCTTCATTTTTTTGTTTTGACAGAGTGAGATCATCAAGATGATCAGGAAAACTGTACGTGCACATATGGAACTTGGACATTTTTGCTTAAAATTTTTCATATGCCTCTTTTTCTTTGTCTTTTATATCGTAAAGTAGTTTAAACAATATTGATATACGTTCATCTCTGTCCGGCGTAGCAACTGGATAATATGCCAGGATGGTAAATATATGTTAGTTAATTACCAAAAATAAATAAATAATAGTTGCTAATGTTTTTATGGTGAAATATACAGGGGGAAATGCTGGAGGAGGAGAATAAGCAGCTTCAATACATATGGGTGAGTTCCTAATTAATATTATTAAAGCACATTTCTGAATCTGACCGACAAAAGGAAAAAAAAATCATTATTGTAGGAAGTTTTTACAAATACATACCTAAGCAGTGAACTAGTATAAAATCATACTTGCATAGGAAAATGTACTTCAAAGACTCCTTTCAAGCAAAGGCTGCTTTTTCAACATGCTTGATCGTTATTTTGCTTCAATATTTTTGTGAAGTTTCACCGTCTTGAGCATAAAAAGTAAGTTGAAGATACTGATCTGCATATTTGTGATTGCCACAATGGTGATATATTTTGGCAATGCTTATCCTCCTAAACTAGGTTGTACATTTGTTGCCGAAGTAGATCATCGTAATCTGATTAAGATGATTAATTATCTGTTCGACCCTCTTGAGCCAATTTTGCATAGGTTCTAAGCTAGTTTTATCCCATGTTGGTGATGACAACAACGTTCCCTTGTAGTTTTTAATTACCTATAATAGTTAGAACCTTCTCTTGAGTGTGGGCAATCTTCTAGGCTATGATGCATAGACATTTTCATGTATGACTTCGTTTGTTATTTACAGCACCAACAAGAGATGGCAAATATGAAGGGTGCTATTGGTGAGAGGGATGATGTTTATCAAAGGGTCAGAGACTACCCATCCCAGATGCCTTTTGCCTTCCGGGTGCAGCCAATGCAGCCAAATCTTCATGAGAGGATTTAGAGCTCTACCAAAAAACAAAAGCATTTTAGCTAAGCTTTGCTGCTTGAAATGCAAGTTCTTAAGATTTCAGAAGTCTCCTTTGAGTAAAAGCTTGTAATAAAGCAAACTTTGATAGTGCTATGAGACTATATGTTGGATAGCTGTATCTATCTATGCATGTGATTTTATGTTGTTCTTTGTTTGTGTTTGTCTTTCTTTTTTTCATTGTTTTTCATCTTTTGAATCTGAATGGCATGTGTGTGGGCACTTTTGACTTGCCTTCTCTAATATTTAAGATCTTCACTTTTGTTTATTGATAGTGTTTCTCTAATATACAAGAACTTCACTTATGTTTAGCCTTTGTCGAATATTTAAGAACTTCACATTTGGCTCTAGTTTTCAAGTGTTTTAGTTCCTATTTTAGTGGAACTGATGTAGGTTTTGTGCATTCCATGCTAGGTTCTCTGGATCAAACTAGCCTTGTAACATCTTGTTCAAACACCTTATTTTGAAGAGCCAGGCACGTTATACGCTAGGAATCAAGTAACCAAACTTCCCTACAAAATTACTTCGTATTTTTGCTAGAATTTTAAAGACATCTAGGAGAGAATTACTCCTCTCCGGTACAAATGGTTCCCTCATGAAGGACCAAGGAAACAACTCAAACAAGAAAGAATGAAAGGAAAATAAAAACAAAAGGCCAAAAAAAAAAAAGTGAATGAGAAGAAATAAAAGAGCAAAATTAGATACATTAAGCAATTCTTGCAAGTTTCTGTTTATAGTCTACGTATACAGTTTCTTGCATGTAATTTTTTGATCTTTATATAACTACATTAGCTAGGATAGAGATAGGAAGCTCTTTTTCTCAATTGCACATCTAACAATGTATAAGATGTTCAAAATAGACATGCATATACATTCACTCGGTATTTTTGTTTATGGGTACTATTAGTCAATATGCTACATTTTGTTTCAAATATGCTAACATTTTTTCTAATCACCTTCAATTCATTGCATTTTAGGACATTCTACTTCTATAGAGTATACTTAATGAAGCATATACAAGATTCACAATTATTTTATAAGCTTGTACTTAAGTGGTTAGGAAACTGTTTCAGTTATCATTATCGTATAGCAATTGAAAGATCTCAATATCATTACTCAAAATTAAATTTGCAGTAAAAAAGTGGAAAGTTTTCACTTTGCCCCTTTAAACCTTAGGTTGGTATAGTTTTCCCTTTAAAGTTAACTTCACTTTAGCAGCCTAACATATTAATTTCTAACAATTTTACTGATAACACTTACTTGATATTCCCTTTTGCTATAAAATATTGATCAGCAGATGATATTACTATGATTTTCACCTAAATTTACAGTTAGATCTGCCATCTAATAATAAGCTCTAAAATGATAAAAATAAAGGATATCATATTTTCCTCTGAGCTCTCTCTCTCTCTCTCTCTCTCTCTCTCTCTCTCTTAAGGTGTGTATGTGTATATGTGCAACACCTAATGGAATTAGGACCAAGTCACAATTGAGAAAATGTTGTACACATTAGTTAGAAACTCATGTACTATTTTCTTAGAGCTAGGTACTAGAAATCGTTTCTCCGTGAAAGTTGGAACAAGTTGGTTTGCCATTTTTTGGAGTTTTGGTATAAAAATATACTGTAATGATTTAATTTATATAAGGTAAAAACATAATTGAAAAATGTGTTCACGAAAAATAAAAAAAAAATTCTTTCAAAAATTGCAATCTAAACAAGGCCTTAGCTTTTAAGTGTACCAAAAAATTGAATCTTTTTATTTTTTAGTGTATGTTCTAAAATTAATATAAAGTTAAACTGTCCAAAAAGTATGATCATTCCAATATTTTCCCTAAATTTTGCATGAATTTTATAGGCAATTCTCTTAAAGAAACTTGAGTTGAGTCAATTATGACATTATTTTATGATGTATTGAAGTCCTAAAATTTATAAGATAAGGAGAGGAGAGAAAAAAAAAATAGAAAAACAAACAGTAGAAATATTTTTTTTTTTCTATGTATCTACTTGTAGTTGCTAAGTCGTGAGGCATAAACCCTAAACCCCATACAAAAATAATAAGAAAAGGACTAACGCTCAAACTCAAACGAGTTGAGAAATCTTTGCTATCAAGCTCGTCTGAGCACATATATTTAATTATGGCAAGCTCGATCTTGACAAATCCTATGCTTTTGATTCACTGGCAAGCAGACGATGTTGGGACCAATAACCGCTAGGCTCCGTCACTTAGATAAGGTCGGGAGAGGAGTCAATGCGGCGGGTTCCATCACTTAGATCTTTTTAATAATTCAATTCAATACTTAAATTTAATGAATTCAAATTTTAATATATTCAGACGCGTTTGATAATCCAAAATTGAATATTTAAATTAATTAAATGACACTGAATTTTTTAGGTAAAATTTACTCTAAAAAAATAAGTGATAAACTATTCACTTATCACTGAATGTGCTATACAATCAAATGTATTTGATTTAATATTTAACAATTCAATAATTTAATAGATTCAGACTTCAGATTTCAGATTTCAGTTTTATCAGATGCACTCTTAGATAAGTTCGGGAGAGGAGACTCCATCATTGGCAAGCTCGGTCCTATTATTATACCCTTTCCATCCCAATTTGATAATTTTGATTTTTTTATGTAATTTAAGAAAAATTAGTTAATTTTATTAGAAGGATAAATCTAATCTACTATTTTTTTTAAAAATACCATTACATTGAAATAGTCTTACCCGAGAAATTTCGAGTCCTACACGACAAAATTTCTTTTTCTGGGCGGATTTTATGATTTAATCTAATAGCCAATTGGATACAAGATGCAATTAAGCGACCAATTGGCACCCTACCGGTCTACCCTACCCTACCCTACATGGAAACCGACATTTTTGCTGTATTTTTTTTGAGATAGTTGTGTAGTAGTCTATTTTCTGTTTTGTCTTTTGTCACATATTTTATAATATTCTTTGATCATACTCCATTCTATTGTATGGTCATCATCAAATTTATGCCACAGATTTTTTGTGCTTGCTAATGAACCTTTTTTTAATCAAAAAAGTTATTTATTTAATCCATTATAATAGGATCCAATATTCGACAAATAGGAGCTGGTGGGTTAAAGTTTAAAAAATTTTGTTACGCGGTGTATGCTCTAAAATGTTTAAGCTTTAAGGAAGTAAAGTTAGCATAAAAGTATGGATTTATTATTATCTTTTTGTTTGTTCATAGAAAACTCTAAACCTTGTGGACTAAATACCTCAAAGATGCCCGGTTCATATCAAACAAAAAATAAATAAATAAATAGAGGGTCTTGGGGTTTACTTTATGTATTTGGTTTTTAGTCTTTCACATTCTTTGTTATTCAACATCTACCCGTTATAAAATCATCGGGTCTTGGTCCAATGGTCAGGAAGAATCTCTTTAAAACTCTCTCTCTCTCGTGCACTAGTAGATCGGGGGTTCATACCCCGCATATTTGTCTAATCTGGTGATTCTTCTCTCAACCCTCGTACAAATCTCCTTAGACTCTCCACTCCATAAAGTGGGAATAGACATAATTTAGATAGTTGCCGTTGCAAAAAAAAAAGAAAACAAAAAAAGCGTATATCTACCCCTTTACAAGCATGTTCTTTTGTAATTTATCCAGTCTATATAAAATGTTTTAGCAAGTTTTTGATGTATTTTTGAATGGGTTATACTAGATTGATAGTACATACATTAATAGATTTGGATGCATATTATTGTGCAAAATCATTATTATATTCTTTAATTACTCTTTTGTATAAGTTTTCAGAATTAATGCAAGAGAATTAAACCGGCTATTATGTGGACCTGTTGGTTTGCTTAGCGAAGTTCAACAAGCTGGAACCCGGTCTAAAGCAGGAAGCTTTTGTTGGCTCATCATTATTTACGGATTGGGCCAAACTAGAATTTTTGGAAATTTGATATTTGTTGAATTTGTGTTTTCAATAATTATACAATTAAAATCAATATATGCTTAATACAATTAAAAAGCTTGTGTAATATGATAAAACTATTGGTAACAATAAGACAATTATTCGCAAATGACTCTTAACAAACATTGATAATTAGAAGAACAACTAAGAAATAGATGTAGCGAGTATAACCCGAAATTAAGGTTAAGCTAAACTTGCCCTTAAATGTTGACCTCAATCACATTGGCTCAACCGCGCCAACTTTAGATAAGAAGTGGTGCTTAACACATATTAATACATTATGCTAATCTCTTCGAAACTCAACACGGTAAAGAAATTAGTCAAGTGACTATGAGCAAATGAAGAAGAGCACTGATTAAATCTAATTATATACTTGTTAATAGGGTATCTTGATTATTAATAAGGTTTATTTGATAAGGGCTCGAAGATACTTGTTATGTAGGAAAGTGTTAGCATTTTAGGAGAGTAAATTACATAAGAAAAAAAAATTTTAAATACAAGAGGGGCAATAGAATATTAACATGCACTATAATTGGGAAACTATGGCCTTGTGTGGATTGCATTTGTTGTGCAAAATTTGTTGGTTTTTGTGGCACAATAAAGACATAGAGTCCATCTACAACATTGAAAATCACTGGCATTCCTATGCAAGTATGGCAATCCCACTAGAAAAATGAAAATCACTAACATTCCTAAGTAAGTATGGAAATTCCTAAAATCAATCTTTTAATTTATTTTGTGGTTGTGGTGGGCCATCGCTTAGTATTGAATTTAGAGTTCACCTATAAAAAAAATTAAAAATTATAAAGAGATGTGTTATCTATTAGTTTATTTATATCACTATAGTAGACGTTGCTAAATATAGGATTTTCCAAATTGATAAATCCATTTACAAAAATGACCAAAAATTACAACATTTCACATAGAAGTCCCTAATCTTATCCCATCATCAAGTGTTCCTCTTAACTTATATCTTATCCATTACGATTTTCTAATTTTCTCTCCATTATGATTTTCAAATTTTCTCCTTAACTATCTCTAGAAAGAAAAAAAGAGAAAGAAAATATTAAGATTCTAGTAAGAGAAAACTACTAAGTGAAAAAAAAAGAAGAAAAACACCTTTTCTTTTTCAAAATTTGAAAAAGCCCCTTTTTCTTTCTCTCTCATCTCCACACTGCTTTATTCTTCCCACCCATTGAGCCTATTTGGCAAATGAGTTTTTAGTCAAGTTTGTTTTCTACCAATTTTTAAACAATTTTAGTTACAGTAACATCAAAAAACTTCTCAAAATTTTTAAATTACAAACTTCAAAATACTCAAAACACACAAAATTTTTTTTCCCTTCTCTCTTTCTTTTTCTTCTTCCCCCACATCAACCTACCACCACCTTCGGCACTGGCGCTGGCACTGTCAGAGGTAAGTTTTTTTTTTCTTTTCTCCCTCTCCCTCTCCTCTTCCCCACCACCTCTCTCTGCCCGCCACCCTTCCCTTTCCCCCCCTGCACAATCTGGCCATGCAGCTAAAATTGGATGCATTGACCTGTGCAGGGGGAAGGGGAAGGGAGAGGAGGGGGAGAGAGGTGACAGAGAAGAGGGGATAAGAGGGGAAAGGGAGAGAGAGAGGAAAAAGCAAAAAAAAAATTTTTTTTTTGTTGCTGCCGACGAGGGGAGGGAGAGGTGACGGGGGAGAGGGAGGGGTGAAAGGAGGAGAGGGGAAAGAGAGGGAGAGAGAAACATACAAAAAAAAAAAATATTGTTGTTGTTGCTGCAACTTTCGACAGGGAAAGGAGAGAGAGAATAGAGAAGGGGACGAGAGGAAAGAAAAGAAAGAAAGAAAAAGACAAACAAAGTGAAAAAGAAAAAAAAAACGTAAAAAAGTTTTTCATCTTAAAATTTTTCTTGCCACTTTTAATGATAGTTAAAATAAAATTTTAGACAAATATCTAAAAAACTTATTTGAGCCATTGTTCTTATAGGTACCATCCACCAATCTCCAATCTCACGCTAGAACAGAAGGATGTCTAATCCTATCATTAAATTATTCAAAAAGCACAGACTTCAATAAGAAATGGCATCAAGATACCTAAACTGTTGACCATTGACCTCCCAAATCCCAAAATTACCCCTCTAATCATCCTGTAATCCACTTGCCGCCTGCTCTACCCAAGATGGTCCAATCCGTCTTATCACGCAATTTCATCACTCCAATCATTCCCGTTCTGTTTACTAATCATCAATACTTGCACCCAATCACAAGCTTCCAAATGATGATAAATCATTAACAAATAGAGTAATTAAATATAATTACAAATTTAGCAAATACAATAGTATCATTATAATATTTTGCCAATTTATCATAATAATGTTTGGATAGCTCAATTTTGTCAAATAATATTTTATTTGTATTATAAACACATTTTTCAATCTACATTTTTATATTACCAACCACTATTTTATCTGACATACATCACAATATAAAAAATATTATGATAATTATTTTAAATAATACAATACTCTCAATCCAAACACTCATGACTACACAACAAAAATGCCAAACCCATTTTTATTGATAGGAAACTACCAAATTACTCCTCAATCCCACATCTCCACCAATCACCCTTTTCAAGTATTTGCAGTTTTTTTTTTTTGTTGTTTTTAGAGCCACCAATATGAGAAATATACCATTGAAATTGATTTGGTATTTTAGAGGTCACAATCATAATCAGACAATTCAAAGTTGAGATTCACTGACGTTTGATATAAGTTAATCCCAACCGTAAAACGAATTAATTCACCATCGAAATCAATATGATGTTTTAGATGTCGCAACTATAACCATATTAGACAATTGAAAGTCAAGATTTACTGACGTTTGATATAAGTTAATTCTAGCCGTAAAACGAATTAATTCACCATCGAAATCGATATGATATTTTAGAGGTCGCAATCATAATCGCATTAGACAATTCAAAATTTAGAATCATTGAAGCTTGATATAAACTAATCCGACCCGTAAAACAAATTTCTAAAATTCATCATAAAAAATGTAAATTTCAGAGTACATTTTATTATCACGAATTGTCTTGTACAATCGCGCCTAAAATAGCAAGTGTACAATGTACTCATCATCTTTGTTCTTTTCCTTCTTAATTGTTTTCCCAAAGCATATCTTCCTCAAAATAAAAGACAAAAAGAAGAAAAATAGAAGAAAAGGGATAAAAAAGAAAAACAAAATATCAAAACCGGTTGCCTGACAAAGATATTAGATAGTAGATGGGACTCTTCCAAGAATCGCTGCAAAGGAAGGAAAGGAAGACACCTCCCCTCGTATAATTATAAAACCGTTTGCTGACAGCGCCAAGCGATTCTTTTTTCTCTGTCTTTTCCCTAATTCTAACCACCGCCCTCCTCCCTTGCCCCACCCGAAACCACTGTCCACCACCCCCTTCACAGGCATAAGTAACGATAGCTATATTGATTGAATTATTTATGCCTTTGATTATCAACAGGTTTTTGTTTTCCTTCGTCTCTGTTTCTTCAAAGGTATGATCTCTGTTTTTTTTTCGTCTGTTTATTAAGTACTTGGTTTCGTTGATTTTTTGTTTTCGTTTTTGCTAAAATGTCGGTGTGTGTTTATCTCAATGAATGTAGCTATCTGCATTGGCATTCGAGCTCGGAATTTTAGGGTTTCGTTCTGCTTTCGAGTTAGGGTTTTTGTGCTTCCTCTTTTTGTTTTTTTTGCCCCCTTTTGACTGCTGCTCAACTTTTACGATGAAGATATATCGTTATGGATGTTTCTGGGTATCTGCATTGCTCTGGAATCTCAAAAATTGGTTTTTGGTTTTTGTTTAGTTTGTGGGCTTCTGTCTTTCGCGGTGATTATTTACTTAATTTTGACTGAATTATGTGAAAATAATGTAATTAAGCTGGATTAAGGGTTAATGTAAGAGAGTATTTGATTAAAATATTCATTTAGGTAGGGAGTTTCTGTGTAGAGGTCTATCTATGCATATTTGTATCAGTCTGCGATGTTGAATTTAATTTGTCCTCAGTTTCATTTTAGATACTTTTTTCTTCCTTTTTAGTAAGAGCAGATTGCTTATCTTTAATTTTTTTGGTCGGGGAGGGGGGGCCCTTGTTATGATAATTTTAAGTAGTATGCTTTCCCTGATAAAGGTTCTGCTTGATATTTCTAGTTTTACCACTAATGCTGATAGATTATTAGTTGAGAAAATCAGGCATTTGCAAAAGTTAAAAGAATATGGGTAATTGAGCAATTTTTGAGTCACAATGAGTCGTGAAGTCTCATAAATTGTTGACAATTAAGCCTAGACTTTCCTGGTTACTGTATTAAGTGTACTTAAAGGTGCTATTTCCAGGATTTGGTTACTTTCACACTTCTTCTGTATAAAGTATAGCTTAAGAGGAGTTCCTTCACCCTGTTGGTTTCTCCAGGTCTTATAAGAATATACGATTGAGTATTAGATGTCTTGCCTCAAAAAAGATATCTTTGTGTTTGTTACGGTATAGTTTTGTAAGCTAGTGGGCTTATCTAGAATTGTTGAGTGAATTATACAGTTGCATTAGGCTGAAATTTTGAATTATTCAACCAGCTAAAAAGATATATCATCATTGGGCTCCTCTTTTTCTCATAAATAGGGATTTTTTCTCTGGTACCATTTCCAGGTTGTTGGAATATGTTTATCTGCTGATTGACATGTATTCAAATGATTGCAGACCTTTTGTTTTCTTTAAGAATTACTATTACCTTTTGCTGATACGATTTGTCTTTATTAATTAGATTGAGTTCATTTTAAATGTCTTTTCTATGCTCCTTAACAAATGAGTAATTATTGTTTGCACTCTGCATATAAGTTATGTTTCGCTTCTCTTTCAGATTTCAGTGCCGTGAAGTTCAGTCAACATCATTTTATGGCTCCTAGTGCTTTGTTTGGGACAGGGCTGCATTCTTCCTGTTGAGGCCCTTTTTCCTCCTGTGCCACAGCCTGGTTAGTGGATCAGTATGCTTGCTGGGATGTCAGCAGGAGAAAATGTACATGACTGTGTTGAGGAATCCTCTGCAGTGAACTCAACTTTTAGTCTTGAAGAATTATCCACCCTTCAGCAATCGTGTGGAACCTTTTCTATGCGAGATGATGATTCATCTAAGAGAGTGGATGTAGAAGATCTTTCAGGGGCCGATGAAGTAGTTGCTGCTTTTCAGTCTTTCTGCATTGATAATTCATCTTTGATGAGAGATCAGGAAGCAAAAGATACTGCAAAAGTGGATTATAGTGCAGAATCATCTGTATTGAGGAATGATGAAAGAGAGGATGCTTTGAATGCTAATTTTCCTTTAGATTCATATCCAATAGGGGATGAAAGAAAAGCTATAACTAGAGTTGATGACAATTCTAATACATGTCCAGATATCACATGCTCTTCTCCTTGTCGGAGGAGCAGCCGGAGGAACAGACTAGACCAGGAAAACAAGAAAAAGGGACCAGAAAGAGACTGCAGGAAAACCTCCAGCAAGAGTGCATTTTTAGATGTGAGCTCTGTGCAGCTTACTAGGAGGAGACGAAGTTCTTTGAGCAAACAGGCTCGTGCTACTGTATGGGGTTTACTAGGAAACATGTCAGTACTAGAGCAGAATGGTGCAGTTGATATAAGTCCACAGAAGGCTAAAAAGTCAAGAAGACTTAAAGGAGTTGGAGCCAATGGGAAGCGAGAAAAGAACAAGAAAGCTCGAGACTCTACAAAGCTTAAGGGAAAAAGATTCAACCCAACTGGTCCCATCACTTTGAAGGTTAAATTTGGCAGTAGAGAAGCAGCTTCCTTGGTGAACGCTAGCACTGTAATGGATGATAATAAAGAGCAGGATTCCAGACAAGAATCTTTTCCTGAAGTATCCATAGATGTTCAAGATTTAATGAAGAAAGAGGCTGATGGTAGTATGAGTTTTCAGTCTTGTGATGGAACCTTGGATAAAGCATCAGATATCCATGTTGCAATTGAGGATATAACTGAAAATGCGGGTGGAAATGCTTATGGTGATCTTTGTGAATCTCCCTTTCATGCTGAGGTTGGTAAAGTGGTAGCAACAATTGATAACCGCATCTCAGATTCAGGAACTTCACCTGATTCAGAAGTCATCAATTTAACTCCAGATGCACAAATTAGTGAAAAGGATCCAGATGCCCTTCATCACACTGTGAGCTCAATCAATGCATATCTTGCCTCTGAAAATATGTCTAATTCGAGTTTGCTTTGCAAGGATGCTGATGAAGGAAAGAGGGAAAATGACCCTCAGACCAGCAATTTCAGTGTAAATGTCGAAGCTCCTGGTCCAGAAAACCTTGTTGATGATCAAGAATTCTCTAAGCTTGGACAGAAGGAGAAAGTGGGTGATGTCTTTTATCATAGTGATGCTTCTACGTCAACGACAACTGAAAATGCATATCTTAACACATTCGAAGTGGATGGGTTACCCAAAGAACCTCCTTGTTCGAAGGTGACTGACTTCGCAATCTCTAGTGAGACGAATAAAGTTGAAAGTGCAATACAAGCCAATCTTTCTCCAAGACTTGGTACTGAGATTGGGCCAGTAGAGTCAAGTAAGTCTAAGAAACTGCTTCCTTGCACCAATGGGAAAAAAGTTGCCAGAAGTTCAAGAGCAAGGAAAGAGACCAGGACAAAGAGAGAGAAAACATCTAAAACGAAGGGCAGTCAAGAGAAATCATCTGCAAAGCAAAAAGGCAAGGACAAAGGATTGAAGGGTGACTCTGCTCAGACTCTTCATGAAGTAGAAAATCACTGTGAAACAGGTATAAAGAGCTATAGCTTGGGTTCATTAGTAAAATATTTTAATTGTGATCCCATCTTTTGCAATATCTTTGTTGGATCATACTCCTAAACTAATAAATGATGACTTATATAGTTCCTAGTGCCTATGGTTGCTGCACGTGAAGTCGACTTTATGTAAATTAACCTCATAGCTCTTATAACCACCTTTTTGGGTTTCATGCATTTTCTGGTGTTGAAGAAGCTGGAGAAACTGGCATTGGAAATAAAAGCTTGACAGAAGATACACCCCCTAAAGATATGGCTCCTGTCATGGTTGCACAGGAATGTATACCAATCACTCAGGCTTGGGTATGTTGTGATGGTTGTAACAAGTGGAGGCGCATTCCAGCTGCACTTGCTGATATAATCAGAGAAAATGACTGCAAATGGTAAGTGATGATGCTCTCTATTGCTTCAGCATTACAAATATGCTACAAACCTTGATTGAAAATGCTCCTTGCTTCTCTGAAATGGCTCATCTTGGCGAATGTTGGGGTAATATGGTGAAAGAACAGCAGTTTTCCCCTGGCCTTCATTTGTTTATGAGTGCACACTCAATGTTAAGTGTAATTTTGCAGGTCTTACCTTTTGTTGGTGCGGGTCTAGGCACTTTATGCTTGAATGATTTGTATAACACTAATTTTTTTCCTTTGCTGCTACCATCCTAAACATGATCTGAACGTTCCAACCAGCGTCTGTTGTCCAGCATATCCTGCCATTGCTTTTCGTATCTGGGAACTCGGGGTACTAAATACATCACAAGATAAAAGATGTAGAGAAAAACACGTTATGGATGTTCAGGGACATCTAGGTAGATCCTAAAACATGCATGCATGGGTATAGTAATGCATGTTACGTCACTTTGGGGACCCATATATGCCCCAGGCATTACAAAAAAGGGAAATTGAAGGGCCAAGAATAAGACTTCTCTTTGAATGGTGGATTGACTAGTTTTTTGAGTCACAAAGGTAGCAGTAACTGTATCATTTGGTTAGTTTGTGCTTTCTCTTATATTCAGATAAAATTTTTTTCCAGATTATAAACTATCGGTCTTATTCTAAGCCTTTTAAGATGTTATGTTAGAGAGATCTGTATATCATAAGTGTCAGTTTGGAATATCTTTAAAATGAAAAAACTTGACCTCTCTGTTTCTGGAAACCAAAACATAATTCATTGAAATTCTCATACAACTTTGACTTTTTGCCTAAAACAAGTGACTGGGAATTTCTATGGGATGTGGTCTCCTAAAGTTGATGATTTGATGATATTTTAGCTCCGGTAAGTGATTTTTCTCTAAACCTTTCTTTGGGACGTGAGGTGTCAAAACTCAGTGTCTTACATGAAGAGGCCTCAAGAATCTGTCATCCGCACAACTTACAACAATCCGGTTAGCCTTTCTTATGCTTACATTACAAGCATAATTGGTCATTCTGAATTACTTGCTAGAACAGTTTATCAATAGTCGTTAATCGTTTCCTTGACACATTTAGTAACTTATTACCCAAATGTTATGCAAAAATTCTTCTACATTTTGCTCTATCAGTTGTATAACTTTCATGTGGAAGGAGTTTTAACCTCTCTGTTAACAAGGAGCCACTTTGTTCTTCCAACTAAGTATAGAATATATGCATAAAGTGAGAGTAGTTCAAAGCAGGGAGTACGTCAGACTACACAATTGTATGAGGCAAAGATGCAGTTGAGGCTCGGTGATTTGAACAAGCATCAAGTTTTTTCAAGTTACTAGAATCTAATTCTGCCTAAATTGCAAGTCATTTGTTTGGAGAAGTTGGTTGACAGGCAGTTCAAGCTGAAGTACTGGCCAAAACAGTTTCTGATTGGATTTTTGAATTCATTGCTTTAAGGCACGAGTTTGTTTGCAGATATAGTATTAGCAAGTGTGGTTTGAAAAATTGAAATGATGAGCTTTAATGATCATCAAGTACTTTCTTGGAAAGATGCCCTGATTGTATACTTCTGTTATCTAGTATGCCCCTGCATAAGTGGCAATGCCTTATCTGTAATATAAGTGGCTGTTACCATTTGATGTCCCTCTGAGATTTATATTTTTTCAGCTGGAAGGAAATACGGTAGATTCATGCAAGTAAAAAGCTATGCTAATTAGCACCCAAGGGGGGGTTTATGATAACACGGTCATTCAAAATTTTCGAGAACCTGTATAACCCAATTTTGATTCCATTAAAAAAAGAAAAAAACCCAATTTTGATTTCTAGGTTTCTGTAGGTGGTTTTGATTAAGCTACCTAGCAAAACTGTGTTATTATACAGGAATAGGGGCATGAGCTGCTCATTTACTTGACCAAGTATGTCTGAGGTTTAGTATTGAACATAATTATCATAAGGAGTATGTGGTAAAGAATTTAGGATAATGCTCAGAATAAGTTACTAAAATCATGTGCTACTTATGATACTCTTGGTTTTGATTCATGTTGGTTCCTCTAATAAACTTTTTGCTCAAGTTAAAAGCTTCAACATTTTGTACAGTTAATTCATTAGTTCCTTTATTATTATTATTATTTATGGGAACAAGAAAAGCTAGCAGAACTTTGCTACAGGTTGTGCCTTTTCCTTTTCTTTTTAATTATAATAAGATAGAAATGATAAGAAATAAAGGCACATGGTAAATCAGCAGGATTCATCATGTGCATTGCATATTTCATCTGTTGGATTTGAGCTCAACAATTGATGAAAGTACTATTTTGGACATATCAAAGACTTGAAGTTACATAATGGACAAAAAGTTGGGAGGGGATGAAATACGACTTATATGGGTGAAGCAAGAGTGACTTAAACTTAGGCTGCATTGTCTAATTGCTTTCGAGTAATGGAGAAACGCTGGAAGTTTAATACTTTTCAAATGCTAGAATAATGATCAGCATAAACTTTAGATAAAACATTTGTTGAATTAGCATAACTTTTACCTCTTGGGTAGTAGTGGTTAACATTATGATGTGAACTATTTAATGTGTTTCTCATTTGATTATACGATAAATCTTGTCTTTGATCTACATTAAGGTATTGCAAGGATAATATGGATAAAGATTTTGCTGACTGCTCAATTCCACAAGAGAAGTCCAATGCAGATATCAATGCTGAGTTGCAAATATCTGATGCCTCTTGTGAGGAAGATGCAGATTCTGATGCACGGTTGGATTCCATTAAATCAACACAGAAGCAGCGGAAAGGTATTCAATTACAGTATTGTTGTTATTCTAGCATTGTGTTTTACGTTTTTTTTCCAGTATATAAATACGCTGTGACTTTCTTTCTCTGAACTTGGATTAATCAATTTTATGTTACAGTAACTCAACAGCCTTCATGGACGCACATAAAGTCAAATTCGTTCCTTCATCGCCGGCGCAAAACTCAGGCAATTGATGAGGTAATAGCCTAACTGAACCTTTAATATTATTGTGCTTCTATTTCTTTTTCTGTTCTCTTCCACGCAATATTGTTGGGAGACTGCTTAATTAGGTGATTATCACTTCATGGTTGAACTGAAGAGTATCTAAGTTCCTTGCAGAAATTGAATTGGCCCTTCTAACTAGTTTGTCTCCTTTTTGTTTTTGATTTATTCTTGGCCAGATAATGGTATGCCATTGCAAACCACCTTCAGAAGGCCGAGTGGGTTGTGGAGATGGATGCTTGAACCGGATGCTTAACATTGAGTGCATTCAAGGGACCTGCCCTAGTGGCGAATTCTGTTCAAATCAACAGGTCTTCATAGTTTTTCAATGTTTTTGTTACTACTTTTATGTTTTTTTTTTTGTTTAATCTCATTTTTAACCATTTTTTAATGTAAAATTCCCGTCTGCAGTTCCAGAAACGCAAGTATGCAAAGTTGAAGGCCATTAAATGTGGAAAGAAGGGTTATGGTTTACAATTGCTTGAAGAAGTTTCTGAAGGGCAGTTTCTTATAGAATATGTTGGAGAGGTAATGGTGCCATGTGCTTTGTCGTACAAAACTGGACATTATATGTAACAAGAGCTACTGGAAGATTGCGAGGACAAAAGACGTGATAAGTTATGTTGGTTAACTGAATATGGATATTGGTTGTTATGGGCATGTGAGTCTGGGTCTATTCTAATAAGTGGAATGTTGAACTTCAGATTTAGGACGATTTAGTGTTTGTAGATCTTTTTCTAGCTGCCCTTGTGCATGCTTCCATCTGTTCGACGTTTAGTGAGAAATAAATGAGAGTTGGCAGTGGATTTGTGGAGTGCATTGTCACAAGAGATGACTTACGTTTGACTATAATGCCTAGCAATTTGAGCTTGTGATTCATGGTGGATCTTGTCCTCACTTTTTCCATATTTGTTATCTATCACTAGTGCTTATATTTAAATATTAATCGATATGTTTATGTGCTGTTATATCTCTTCTTGACCGCAGAATGCTTGTCATGATTCTTTCAGGTTCTTGATATGCATGCCTACGAGGCGCGGCAAAGGGAGTATGCTGTTAAGGGTCATAGGCATTTTTACTTCATGACACTGAATGGCAGTGAGGTTTGAAGATTCATATTTCATTTCAATATTCTGAATGTTATGGAAGAAGTAATATAGAAGGTTATGGTTAGGCAGACTGTAGACCTTTCCAGATATGGAGTTTTTGTGCAGTATGTTTCTGTTTGTGGATTATGCTGTATACATGTGACTGATGCAATGCTTAAGAAGCATGGTTGCAAAGTTTGTGATGCAAGTGTGTTCAAAATTAGGATTATTTGTAATCTTTTACCTTTGAGACTTCTGGTTTGACATGATAGTTTATTTTATACAGCTATTTTATCTCAAAAGAAGAAATGTGTGGTGATATTAGCACTCAACTTATTGTTTGACACTTCACCTCCCCTTTAACTTGTACTACTACCCTTAAGTACATAATGGTATGAGTGGAAAATGGTAGTGGGGGGAAAGTTGAACGTCTAGTTTGATCATGAAGGGTAATATTTGCCAGATGCACAATTCACTATTAAGAGTTTCCCTCTATTATATATGCCTAAATTCTTGATAGTTTTAAGAAATATTGGATTAAAAATATCCTCCTCTAATGTAGAAATCGAAAAAGTGAAACATGAATTCTACACAATCACTTTGTTATGAACATATATAATACTTAAGGATTTGTGTAGTTTACTTTTTTTTTTTGGTACAAATTAGTGTAGTTTACTTTATTCCAGCAGAATGTTTGCATTTTTTTTTTTTAATCAAAATAAATGTAGAGTTATAGATCATTCATGTGCCATGTGATGTATGGTTTTTGGAATGTAAAATCCTAGATCATTCACTCATCCATTTGATGTATTTTTAAGAAGTTTTAGGAGAAAAAAGTAAAAATATATTGGCATTGGCATGGATATTTTTTCTTTTTTTTTTTTTTGGAAACGTATATCTTATATGGCGAACATATTATATGGCAAACAACAAACTTTTATAATCATAACAAACTACAATGATTCGGTTGATCCTATTTTGTTTGGTAAATACTTTGAGAATAAAATGTTCTTTTAATATATGAAAAAATAGGATTACAAACATTACAATGACCTTTACCTCAAAAAATTTTTTATGATTTCAGCAGAGTTTTGAGATTTTATTTGTAGTTCTTGATGTTTTACTTATAGAAGAAGATATCTTAACTTGTTCATAGGTTTTACATGTAGGTAGGGGCTCTTTCTACACCATATGTACAAAATAAGTAATGTCTTCATTGTTGAAGATGAAAATTGGAATACTTATATTGGCAATGGATTTGGTGTATTTTAAAGCTCTCTTTTGTCTAACTGGGGTATATTCACGTGTCTTCTCTGCAAATGCAATGAATGCTTAGTTCTTGAAATTACAGGTTGCAGCTTTTCTTTTGGAAAGGTTGTTTACACTTTATTACTGGTTTACTGTAACATGAATAACTGAAGTAGAATTTTCAGTATACAGATGTTAGCAAGTCTCTATTTTTATGCTGCTTATATATAAATAATGGAAATATTGCTGTTTCCTTTCGTTGTTACAATTCCTTATATCTGTATTTCTTGTTGTAATGTTGTATCCTTGCATTTTTTTTCCAGGTAATTGATGCATGTGCAAAAGGAAATTTGGGTCGTTTCATAAATCACAGCTGTGAGCCCAATTGCCGTACAGAAAAAGTGAGTCTAGTCATTGGTTTTGTGCTCTATTTGGCTGAAAATTTCTGGGTGTCCAGCCTTACATGTCTAATGGGTCAATTGGTGGATGCATACCAGAACTGGAAATTTTTTTTTTTTTAATTTCCAGTTCCTTCTTTTGTTTGTAGTCTCAAGTTTTACTTCTTTTGACTTTATTTGAGCTGATACTCCTTGGCAACAAGACTGCGAGAAGGCCTAGATAATGATCCCGCAAGCATGGAAAATATAAAAGACCCAAGAGGAAATGAACCTAAGTTTGGCAGCCAAATTGGCTGGATAGATAATTGTCCGGAGTACTGAGTTGATAAAAAATTGTTTTTCAGTATATATATGATAAAACTAAACATAAATTACTGCCTGGATATTCACTGTTGATGCATTAGGTTTGGTAAAGCTTTCCTTTTACTATGTTTTCATAAATGTGATCATATGTAGATTGCAATCAGACTTCTCTGGCTATGAAAAGACCAATTCTTGCATATATCTTGTAAGATTGATGAGTAAGAAGAGGAAAAATGTCCATAAGCGTTCTGTCATAGTAGCTGAAAGGAACATGTTGTACAAACTATGTCGAAATTGCTATTTGGTAGTCCATTTGTGGTGTCCTGATAGCTATCTCTTTGTGGTGGGTTGTAGACCTTTCAAAGTCATGCTAAAATTTCTTCAACTTTCATTTTGTGTATTCGGAGAAACAAGGAAATGATTATTTGGTGGACTTCAGGATGTTTATCTTGTTATTTTATGAGATCTTTCAAATTCAGTTGTTTCTATTACTTGTAAGAAGAACTGAAGTGACAGTGGGATTGTCTATGAAGTGTTTTATTGGAGTGTAGATACAAAGTTAAGGGAAATCTGTTAATTATCTTCTCTATTGGGTAAATTACATAATGGTAAACTGAGTAAGAGTGAAGTTATTTATGCTCATCTATGGCTTCTCATTCTCATGGATCATTTCCTTTACAAGATTGCTAAAATTTGTATATTAATTTAGTTGGTTTCACGACATTCTTAATCTAAAATTTAGAATTGAAGTATTTATCAGAGATGCTGTTTTTGAAAAAAAGTGTTTTTTTTGAGTGTTGAGGACACTGACTTGTGCTTTTGCTCTTGCTTGGGTGGTACAGTGGATGGTAAATGGAGAAGTTTGCATTGGGATCTTTGCTTTAAGGGATATAAAGAAGGTAATCCTTTCCTCGTGCCTTTCTATTGTTAATTGGTGTCATAATGACTTCATTTATCTATTATGCGCATCCTGAAGGACGGCACTGAGCTAGTAAGGCCTTCAGTCTACTTTTTTAACCTAGTTTAAATCAAAATAGACTTAAAGAATGAAAACATGATATGTTATCTCTTGCCTAGTTGGAGGTGCTTTCATTACTAGGATGCTTTTTTGCGAAATTGCTTAGTGTCATTCCATGTTTATAGAGATATCATTGTCCACACTTGTCAAGTGTCCCTGACATGTTTGCTCACTTTTTCACTATATTCTGAAAAAGAAAAGTTGAATTTAATTTTTTGTAATGTTTCATTTCCGGAAAAAATGATTTTGTTCTTTTTAATCAACATTTATAACCAGTAATTGACCTGTAGCTGTTTTTCTTCTGTGATTGTGAATAAATGCAAATGTCATTTTTGGGTGATTCTCATTATTAACAGTGGTTACATGTTTTTGTTGGATTTCCGGTGTTCCAGGGTGAAGAGGTTACATTTGATTACAACTATGTACGGGTTTTTGGTGCTGCAGCAAAAAAATGTGTGTGTGGTTCATCTCAGTGTCGGGGGTATATTGGTGGTGATCCACTGAATGCTGAAATAGTTGTCCAGGATGACTCAGATGATGAATATCCAGAACCTATTATGGCACGTGGAGATGGAATAGCTCTGACGAGCTCTCACACTGAGGAAGAAAAGCAAATTAGAGAGATGTCAAATCAAGCTAAAATTGACATTGATTGCTCATCCACTGCTGCTGGATGCTTAGAGAACACAAAGGAAAATGGAGACACCAAGTTATCTGCATCCACTGCTTTGAGTGTTGCAATATCACTGGAAAAGGAGAGTTCAGTTGGACAGCATTCCCCTGTTCAGCTAGTGGGTACTTCCTCAGAGTCTGGTGGTATAACAGGTGGAAATATCTCTGCAGCTCCTGAAGAGTGCTTTGCAAGAGAAACTAGTGTGGGCAATCCCCTGTGCTCCAATCAAGGTTCTGATGCTAATTCTCTGTCCTTGGCATCTGGTAAAATTGATCCTGTAAAGAAAGTAAAAAATGATGTTGGGGAAGTTGGAGTTGTTCTGTCAAAGTCCCGAGCTCGAATAAAAACTTCAAAAAATTTGTCCTCAGTTAAGAAGAGAAAACCTAAGGCTGAGGCTTTGGATGGTAAAAAACCTATGGAATTTGACACTAAAGTGCATTTACCACCCTTTAGGTCAAAGCAGCTCCTGGAAGATCTATCTAATGGTCGTTTTGAAGCAGGTAAATCATGTTCTTTCTTGTTCTATTAAGAACATTAAGTAACTCCAGTTGTAATATTGTCACCTTTTCTTTGCAGTGCAAGAGAAACTGAATGAGTTGCTGGACAATGATGGTGGGATAAGTAAACGAAAAGTGAGCTATTTGTATGCATTGTTAAGAATCTTAGATTAATCTGCTGTTGGTTAATTTTGATGCTTGGATTATATATAGCTTATTCTTTTGTTCCTGATTCATGCGTTCTCGGTGTAGGTATTGAAGTCCTATAATTTAGTACTTGTAGACCGATGATGTGCTTTCCTTGATTTTTTTTAGCTGACTTTTGCACCTTGTTTTTACCCTGGACCACCATATTAGTAACCATTTGTACTGGTTATGGTGTTTGAATGTCAAAGTACTGTCTACTGGGAAAGTAGAAAAGTTTGAAGATTAACATTTTTACAGGAACTGGGTTGGGAGATTCAAGCACATGTAACATCTCTTTGGGAATGTATTATCATCAAGTCCTTTACTACCCAATTTGTTTGACTGTTAATGCATATCTGACTAATCTGATTGACATCAATTATTGTAATTGACGTTTACTCTTATCATTATCTATCTATCCGGCATCCTTGAGTCATGATAGAAAGATAAATACTAATGCTTCTTGCTTTTCTATAGGATGCATCAAGAGGATACTTGAAGCTGCTACTTTTAACTGCTGCTTCAGGGGATAGTGGCAATGGGGAAGCAATCCAAAGGTCATCCAAGATTCTGCACTGTGTAATCTTTTTGTCTATTCTTTTCTGAGCTTCTTGAACATAACTGATTTTGCATAAATGCCTCTTTCTTGCAGTAATAGAGATCTTTCCATGATTCTTGATGCTCTTCTGAAAACAAAATCGAGGACAGTGTTGGTTGATATCATTAACAAAAATGGTAGTGCTTTTGTTTTTGATTGCGTGCATGAAATTCCTTCTGCATATGTGATACGACTTCATATGTATGCTTATTCCTTACATGGGATATCTGTTTTCTTGTGCCAGTAAGGTTGAGTTTTGCTTTTACCTTTTAGGTTTGCAGATGCTACACAACATTATGAAGCGGTGCAGAAAGCAATTCATCAAGATTCCGATCCTGCGCAAGCTTCTCAAGGTATAAGGAAATTTGAAAATTCTAACATTCTACCTTATTAGTTATCTATCAGTCATTTTGTTGGTAAATAAAACCTTGTGGATCTGGACCATTTAAGCAATTTACTGAACCCTGCTATGATTTTCATTCTTTTCTTAGTTGTGTGCATTTTAATGAATGAATAGAACAAAGTAGTATAAATAAGGAAATCTAGAACTTTTGCAGTACAAGCTTAGGGTGGAATGTCAGAAGATGAGCTGTAGCCATTTTTCACCCCAAGGAATGCTCTGAAGGGGAGTTTACATCACATTCATTCCATAGCAATATTAAGATATTCAGAAGCACAGAAATTATTCTTTTTGTTTTAATTAATCTTTTGTTGCTAGAATGAATATACACTAGTCTTTTATTCAAGATTAAAGCAACACATGCTTCGTATTTTGAAGTGTGTTATGGCTGTGATCTGGAGTAAGAAATAGTGATGCAAGTAGAGTTGGCTGATTATTCTTTGCTGCAGGTACTGGAATATCTGGCTACAAGGGAGATTCTTACCTCTGAACATATAAATGGAGGCCCGCGTTATCCAGGAGTGGAGAGGTAAGGGCCAATGACCAGAATATTTTTATTGAACTCCTGTTACAATATTTTCTTTCCAGTTTTCAACATGGGTCAGTGAATGCATTCATTGTTTCCTGCACACAGAGACATCTATATATGAATGAAGTACTTTATGGTGTTGTATCTAGCTAGTCTTCCCATAAGCTAAAGAGCTAAATGTTTCTGTTCCAAGAAGTAAGCTAATTTATTCAGGGCAGGCCAGCAACTGGGGCAGAACTTGGGCTGTAGGTAATCTAAAGATTAAAAGTGATGGTGGAGGAAAGGAACAAGGATTGAAAATGTCATGCAGCTATTAATGGATGTTGATTTTTGAATAGAAGTTGACTTACACTTCACGAGGAATATAATTTGAATAGATGGAAAGAAATATAATTTTGTCTAAGGTCCATCTTGCATTTATCGCATTGGTGCCTTCTTTGATACTGGCACTTTCAAATTTGAAATCTGTCACTTTGAGGTTAAAATATTGAGCATTTAAATCATTAGCCTGGAATATCAACTGGCATGAATTACAACTCAAAATCTTATTAGTGAAGAGAGCTGCATGTCATTTTACAGTCATCCCCTAGTAACATACTTAGTTGTTCATAAACATTAGCATGTGAGAGCTAATAAATGAATTTCAGTTTGCTAGCTTTAGTTGATAATTTTAGTCCAGATAAAGTAGCTCTTGGACTTCTGCAATAATTGTGGTATGAGATCCTGCTCAGTGCGTAACAGAAATGGAGGAAACAAAATCTTTTGTGTGGGGAAGAGTTAGTCCTACATGTTGCTATGCTCTGCTTTCATAAGTTTAGCATGCAATGGGTGCTTGTTTTGCAATTTTTTCCATGATGTACAAAAGATTTTCTAAATCTGCAATATGTGGAGTCTTGTAACTAGTTTTGCCTTTTCTTTGCATAGTTGTGTTCCCTTTTTTCCCCTTCTCTAGCTAATTATTATGTTTTTTCCTCTTTGCCTCATTGACATATCTGTCTCCTTTTGCAATTTGTTATTGTAACACCTATTTTCTAATCAAAATAATTATAGTAGATAAAAAGTTTCTTTTTGTTCCAACTGTGCAGTTTTAGAGACTCAATATTGTCATTGACCGAGCACACTGACAAACAGGTACCCCCTTCAACCTCCTGTTGAAGCGTTTTTCTTCTTCGTACTTGGGTAATGCTTGTTTATCAATTGTTTTGTGTAGTGATAAAGATTGTCATATGCTATTAGCAGTAGACTGCAAATTAGTTGAAGTGCCTTTGCAAGTTTGATGCTGGACAAGAAAGAAAATAATCGGATAAATGTTTTATACTGTATGATCAAAAGCTACTGGAAAATATTTAGAAAACAAGGCTTTAAGGAGAGGCAGGACTGGAGAAACAGGTCTGCAAATGTTGCATCCTGAGGTTATTGTCCTGGAAGGATGCTTGTTCATTTGAAGATTTCTAGGACTTTTACATCACTGTGTTCAATGCCTTGAAGCCAGAAATCCATATCCAAAGACAGCATGGATGTGTGTTTGCTGGCTATTGCTGGTCTGACGAACCCAGTAACTCTTTGTGCTCTGTCCTAAGTGCCCTCTATCTTGTTCTTTTTCATCTTGGACTAGATATTTTTGTTTGTAAGAGATAGATTCTTGTTTTATTTTCCCAAAATTTAAGAACCTTGCTATACTTTGATAAAAGTAGACCAGGAAAGGTCACAGTGCTTGAAATCTTGTTGTTTGAACTTGAGTAGGAGTACAGCATTCTGTTTTCTTTGAAACTCACACATTTCAAGGTTGTACTATGCTATTAAACAAGTTAGACCCCGAAATTTTACCAGGCATGAGAAGATCATTGGATATTCAAGAAAACCATGGAAACCTTTTTTGCATGCTAGCCTAATGACTTTTATAGGGTTGAAATGCCTTCTACTTCCTTGCTCCAGTCCATTGTGTGGTATCTTCCTCTGAGATACTCAAGTTTAGATATTCATGCTCCAAATTATTGTTGGTGGGGAATTTATCGCATATGCTGAAGGCTTTGTTCTTATCATTATATATTAGGTCCATCAAATTGCACGAAGTTTTCGAGATAGGTGGATTCCTCGGTCATCTAGGAAATTTGGCTGCGTACACAGGGATGATTGCTGGATAGAATTACACTGTAGTTCCACCCGTGATACTATATCAGCATCACATGCCAATTCAAATGATTGTGCTGGAGTACCTTTAGAGACATTTGATGGTGCTGCAAAACCAGTGCTAGCATCAAGTTCTGTTGATGCTCAAGTGCCAGATGTCTCCAGTGGATCACGCAGTACAAGGAAACGTAAAAGCCGATGGGACCAGCCATTCAAAGGAAGCCCAGATTTGGGAGCTGACACTAGCATGGCAGGCGATGGAGCAAACAACATGGAAGAGGATGTTCCTCCAGGATTTTCTTTCCCTCTGAATCGCCCTATGCTTCCATCTGATGCTTATCTAAATGACATTGATCACAAGGAAGGAAGACCTAGTTATGCAAAGCGTTCATATGGAGTAGCAATGGGCCATTCACAACCAAGATTCATTTCACGTTTATCTGTTGCTTATGGAATTCCTATTTCCATTGTGCAACAATTTGGTTCTAGTGAAGCTGAAACATCTGAGAATTGGATAGTTGCTCCCGGCATGCCTTTCCAACCTTTTCCTCCATTGCCTCCATATCCCCGTGACAAGAACAAACATTCAATGAGTCAGGCTAGCCAGAAAGCTGGTCAGGATTCTCATAATCGTGCAACTCACTCGAGTCAAAACCCTCCAAGCACATCCGGAGCAACTGAAACAGGCATGCAAACTGTAACTCAAACGGATTTTCGACGAGTTAGGGGTCCTCATAATTTGTCAAGGACATACTTTAGGCAAGAAAAATGGAATAGTTCAACACCAGGAGGTTCTCAAATTCAGAAGAGAAATGTTTGGGGATCTATGGGTAACAATTCAAGAAATGGAACCTGTCAAGCAAGTCCAAGGAGTATCCACAATGAGTTTAACAGTTCACATTGTTCGGAGGATATTAGCACCGGCATGCAGAGTGGGGTTAAATTCCATCAGCATCCATGGTAACAAAGTAAGGACTAGTTATATAACGGAACTTATGGAATTGCTCGAGTTTCCTTTCATGGTTCGCCCATTGTACTCACAATTCTTTGTCACTCATGTTTTACTTAAGTGGAAAGAATTCTTCAGATATTCAGTTTTAACATTAGACGTTAGGCTACAGTTCTGATTCAATTATACTCTAGCTTGAGTTATCAAATTTTATTGCCTCAAAAGGAGGTAAACATTTTTCAGTCTGTTCTAACTTGAATACATACATTTATTGAATAAGATTTGCTTAACTGGCTGGGTACCTTGCCAGATCCTTCCTTTCTGATCCTCTCTCTCTCTCTCTCTCTCTCTCTCTCTCTCTCTCACACACACACACACACACTGTTGTCTGGTGCTGGGGTTTTTAACTTGACAATCATGAAAAACTGTGTGCTTATACGAGTATGGGTATGATTAGTGATTGAAGGATGACATTTCCGTGTTTGGTTAAGGTTTTGTAGCCATTAACATTCCATTGTGGTTCTTGTAATCTTATTTGCAGTTTGTCAGTAATTCTTTTGCTTTAGGTAGCACGAAACTGCAAGTTGATCATTCATTGTTCCATTGTTCATTCAGCAAGTGAAGAAGAGCATTAATTGTTATTTATCCGCATAGTTCATTAGGCAGGTGACTAATGCATATTTGAGAACTTGTGATGTGTGGTTATGTCGTATTTTCATTTAACTGCATCTGCAACGCAGTTTATGAGCTTTTGATGTCAAGATCCAAGATTACATTATCATCAATTGCTGTTCTTGCATATGCTGATGTGTTTTCATTCTTGTTGAATGCTGCCACAAGTGTTATTGGATTACAGAAACACAGTTTATCTTCCTATACAAAGTGCCTAATTAGAGCAATTTTGGGGTGTCTATAAAAAATGCTGTTACTTCTTTGTTTCTAGTCCATTCTTTGATATCATGTTCACATGATAACCTAGTTCAGGAATTCCCTGTCATCAAGCACCTGGCATAGAAGGAAAAAGAAGGCTGCATCGCATGACTGCATAAAATTCGAACAGCAGAGAAAAACATACATAAATTACCAAGTGTGTTAAATAATTATTGGCGAATGCCTTTAACTTGAAAAGAACAGACAAAAACGGCTGAGAGACCGACGGTTTTATATGGCAGCCTGCAAGTTGTGTTATGGTTTATACAACGGGTTACAGTTTTCTACTAATATCTTTGCAGCATACTTCTAATATGTAGAAAGCACCAGGTTCTCATCAATGTAATTTGTTGCCTCCATCCATTGAAGTATCTTCCAATCACCTTCTTGTAACTAGGTCTCTGCTGCACTATATTCCAATACTCAGCTATATTAGGCCGGCAATTGATGTAACTCTCTCCCAAATTCAATAGCACCAATCGAGCCAGGACAGGGATAAGCATCACATCTGCCAATGTGAACTCTTCGCCCACAAGATAAGATGTCTCCCCTAGCTTAGTTTCCACTTCATCAAGAAGCCTTACCAGGTGTTCCTCACAGCGCCTCAGCACTTCAACATTTCTCAACTTCTCTTCTGTTTCATATGCCTCTCGAAGCTTGCGATGGTATGCACTAGCCAGATCAGGAGATTCAGTCATTCGAGCAATTATTACACGCCTCAGGAATTTGGAAACAAATACGCGATACTTCACAGGAATGTGGAACAGGGTAAAATACTTTGGATCCCATGCTTGGATTTTATTCATCCATTCAATGACCTCTTGGTTGCTGAGTTCGGCATTGTCTCCACGAGAGGAGACCAAGGCAATTCTTTCTATATACCTGTGAATAGATGCAATTAAATTTGTCTGGTTAAGTTAATGCAAAAATCTTCAAAAGTAGATTAAGACAAAAGGAACTCCCAGACTAGATTAGTTATGAGGTAAATCTGAAAGTCTCATGCTCTGATATTTTTCATGTTAGAAAGCACACACTAATCTGGCCAGAATTACCCAAACCTTCTCAGTTTATAAGTGTGTGGTCAAGGTGAATGCAACTAAAAACACTACTAAGTCCACCTAAGGGAACCAAGTTTTCATGGGACAGTGCACCCTGAAATGTGTAACATTACAGAATGCTTCAGGGAAATAGAAGACATACTTGATAATCTCAACGGTGTCAAAGATTATATGTGCACCATTCTGAAAGACAGGAAGGTTAGCACTTGGATTCAGCCGGAAGAAAAAAGAGTCCATGTTCTTGCCTGTGATAGGATTGACACGATGAGATGTGTAATCAACTCCCTTTTCTTCCAAAGCAAGCCTCACCTTCTGGCTATCCAAAGAGTACGGATGATGATATAGCTGCATTATGTGTCATCAACCTGTAATAGGAGGTCGTTGATGTTCAAGTATAATCTGGAAACTTATAAGCCAATTGTCGAGTCTAAGCACACAGAATTCACGTCAAGCTATGACAGTGCCTGGTGGATAAACATAGATTACTCGATTAACCATCCAATAACCTATAGAATGCCAAAAGGATAAACACTATTTCAATCATCCTATTTCATCATCTGGGATGTAATATGATTCCAAAGGATGTCAATGCAATGAAATTCATAAAGAAGCCTAAAAACTTCAATTCAATCATGCATGTGATGAAAATATGGGCATGGATATAAATCAATGCTTGAGACACATATTTCATTCGAAAAAGAAAGAAACACATCTCGTTAACAAAATCTAAAATTATTACATGCATGCAAGCAGCTGATCTTTCATTTTTTACTTTTCCCTTTTCTGGTTGGTTGGATGTGGCGAATGATGGCATGAACAGTACATATTCAGACTTATCTGTTGGAAGGTAATGATGCAACTTTCTTGAGATAACAAACATCACAAAATTTCACATAACCAACTATTAGCTTGATGATTAAACTACAAATATTTTTAAATCTTTAGTCATTCTGATACATGAACCAGAAAAAACTGTCTGTTTCAATATAAATTGTGACATAATCTTGTCCTCACACCCTTTTTACTCTATACCCTACATCTTCATCCATTAAACAGTATGATGAGGAAGGTTTTCGTCTCTCAAAAACGTCTGGCCAAAGCAAGAACTCAGTAAAGGACTTAGTACGTGATATATTATTGAGGCAAAGGAACTAAACTACACAAGCATCAATTCTTTGGCTCTCTGTCTTTTCAGTCAAACCAAACAAAAGGATGTATGACATATACTGAGAATCAGTATACAGAAATGTAATTATGACAAGTGCAACCGAGCAACATGATGGATAATCCTTAGCAAGATCAAACATTAGTTTAGGTTCGCAAAATCAAGAACTCTGCCCATTGAGTCCTACAGAAAAATTCACTTTATGCTTTTGAACAGAACAGCAAAGATTGAGACTATTGCCAGAACCAACACCCTTGAAGAGCAAATTCAAGACTTAACTACAAAATAGAAAAAACATGTATCTGAAACATGATAACTACATAGGAAAACATTTCAGATTAGTAGTGTTGTCTGTTCATTTTTGGCTCTTATTTCACATCTTCTTCACGTAGGTCCCACGCTGCCAAGTTTCTAAACTACTGCAAGCCACAGTATTACACTGTAAGAAACTTTACTGCTGCAATTCTCAAATCTGTAAGTGCCAATCCAAACCCATGAAGGCAATCTAAGAAATTAAAACCGACAAATAAAACTAAAGTCTGGCTTCAAACAAAAAGCATGATATGACTAAAGAAAAAAGTCCAAAAACTGACCACAAAATTCCATAAACTCAATTTTGTTGCTCAAACCATAGAAAACCATAGTAGCATATACACAACAAGGACACAATCAAGATCAATACTTTTGACAATTAGACTATACGCCATGATTCAACTGAGGAAAGTGATAAAAGTTAAACAGAAGAAAAAGAAACAAATAACTCACAATTAAATTATAAAACATGTCCCAAAAAAATCGAAATTCTGAAAAAAAAAAAAAGGAAAGTAAAATTCATGAGCATGGATTACACTTACCAAAAAGGTATTCTTGAATAAGCCCAGTTGAAATTCTTGAAAAAACTTGCAAAAATTCAAAGGGAATTCGAAGCTATGGGCTAGCAAGTGAACCAAGAAAAGTTGGAAAAAGGGGACTATTTTAAGTGGATGGTGATGATGAAGCACAAAGGGGTTTTGCTATGTCAGAGGAAGAATTTGACAGCTTCACAAAAAAACTAGTGGAAAGTGACTGGGTTTGAGGATGCCTTGATTCTGCAGAAAAGTTCGGACTATATAGAAACTGCCTCTTTCTACTCCTCTCGTCAGTCGTCAATAATGTTAGTCAACCAAGTTTTCAGAATATCAAATACAAAATAATTTCCAGGTTAATTATAAAACGCCTAAAAATTATTGCTTTGTCATTTTCGCCCCTCAACATTTAGTTGGATCAAACCATGGCAGTGACATTTCAAATTGTCTCAATGAAGTATACTCCCCCGGTAAAACGCACCCAAAAAGTTTTATTTCAGTACATCCCGTGAAAATTTTACAACTATAGATTTCGATATAATAATTGATTTTCTGCTAAATCGTGTTTTTTTATTTCATTTTTTCTTACATATAACAACACATATTTTTATTCAAATCACTGATTCAATTACAAAGGAAATCTTATCATTCCATTCGATAGAATCCAATTTATTTAATGTTGCGTGATTAGTTTATCAAATTAAAAAAATTTGAAATCTTTAAAAGGCAGATTGATTCAATTGATCACCAAAAGTGAAAGCTGTGATTCTTGATGGGATATTTTGTAATTAACTGAACTCTTTTTTGGAACAGAAAATGGGAAAAAGAATGAAAAATGGAAAAAAAATATTTTTTAATGCTGTCCAATATCTAGTGGACACGTATTGAGAAGTTAAAAGTGGAAGGATCGGCGTTGTGGGTTTTGGTTGTTTAACATTATTTATTAGTGCTTGGGATGGCTGGGGAACCAAAGCCACGGATTCTTCATCCTCGTACAGGGCTGACCGGCCAAGCTTGTATTTTATGTTATGTGGGAAGATTTATATTTGCTCGCATCCAATTAAATAATCTTCAACTAGCTTCCTTTGAACATATTCTTTTGTTTTTCTTGTGAGAAGAGACATGATTTTTTCTTAATGCATATTTTGCTTTCGCCATGTGTGAGTCAGAGAGTTTGTTCTGCTCTTTTCTTGCTTGATTTCCATTTTTCTCAAAAGGACATGGTATACGAAGGAATACCTAAGCAAGAATGGTGCTGTCTGAACAAAGTGCTATATCAATGATGCTTGCCTACTTTTGAACGCATGAACTATGATCTAAAGGG